AAAGATGATAATTTTCAAAGATTTTAATTATCCATGGATTGATCTAGGCATACATAAACATGCCATACAAAATGAAGGAGTTGTTTTAAAACAGTTTGAAAAACTGAAAAAAAAACTTTTGTGTATCTAGGAATACGTTATAAACACAAAAATTAAATTTTGCATGCAACAAAAATTTTTTGGAAAATGTTTGTTTGTGTAATAAACTTCTTTTGCGGTTTAGTAAAAAATTTAAAAAAATTCTGGGGCCAGTTCAAAATTACCTTGGAAATTTTTTGTGTCGCCATCGAAAAAATGCTAGTCATACAATTTCCGTATATGGGAATTGTCTGTTAAGCATTTTTTCAAAAAACAAAAATCTCGTTTTATTAAAATCAAAAGCCGCAGAAATTAGTTAGTATCTTTTTTTCAATCATTTTATGAAATTGTATCAAAATTGTATGACAAGCAGTTTTCCATACACTTGATGTATGTAATTGTATGATAAGCATTTTCGGTGTATGGAGATCAACCCGGGTAATTGGAAGTTATAAAAATTCGAGGTTTTGAGAAATAGCGATTGCTCTCTATTGTCGATCAGAAGTTTTTTAGTTACCCCCCTCTTTGCCCCCCTCTCACAGGTTATATACGTTATTTAAAGCACCAAGTAAAACATTTTGGGCGCAGCAACGTTTTGAAAAGAACAAATTGCCTGCTTCAGTTCAAATTATTAAGAACTTGCTTGCAGGTTACGCTTTAATAGTACAAAAAATATAGAGCGTTAATTAACTCAATTTGAAGTATATTCGTCATAACAGTTCCTAATTCAAAGCATTCTAACTAACTACGTTCGATAACACAAAAAACTCTTTTATTTAAGCTTCAGACAACACAGTTTTCTAGATGATTTGAAAAATTCCGCCAGAAAATTTTTAATCTTTGATAAGATGTCGAAAAGTGACTGTGGAAAACAAAACCACCCCAAGTATACAACACCCGCATTTTGTCAAACGTCGGAGGGCAACATAGCCAATTGTAGTTATTCTTACATCAAATGAAATTTATTCACTCCCTAATGTCAAATAATTGAGTTTAATCGTTTTAACTTGAAAAAGATGGTAATTTTACTCACCAGTTTTGTTCCCAATCTTGTGTTGTCGAAAAACAATTAATGTATCTAGGATTACGTTATAAACACAAAAATTAAATTTTGCATGCAACAAAAATTTTTTGGAAAATGTTTGTTTGTGTACTTAACTTCTTTTGCGGTTTAAAAAAAAATTTTAAAAAATTCTGGGGCCAGTTCAAAATTACCTTGGAAATTTTTTGTGTCGCCATCGAAAAAATGCTAGTCATACAATTTCCGTATATGGGAATTGTATGTTAAGCATTTTTTCAAAAAACAAAAATCTCGTTTTATTAGAATCAAAAGCCGCAGAAATTAGTTAGTATCTTTTTTTCAATCATTTTATGAAATTGTATCAAAATTGTATGACAAGCAGTTTTCCATACACTTGATGTATGTAAATGTATGATAAGCATTTTCGGTGTATGGAGATCAACCCGGGTAATTGGAAGTTATAAAAACTCGAGGTTTTGAGAAATAGCGATTGCTCTCTATTGTCGATCACAAGCTTTTTAGTTACCCCCCTCTTTGCCCCCCTCTCACAGGTTATATACGTTATTTAAAGCACCAAGTAAAACATTTTGGGCGCAGCAACGTTTTGAAAAGAACAAATTGCCTGCTTCGGGTCAATTTATTAAGAACTAGCTTGCAGGTTACGCTTTAATAGTACAAAAACTATAGAGCGTTAATTAACTCAATTTGAAGTATGTTCGTCATAACAGTTCCTAATTCAAAGCATTCTAACTACCTACGTTCGATAACACAAAAAACTCTTTTATTTAAGCTTCAGACAACACAGTTTTCTAGATGACTTGAAAAATTCCGCCAGAAAAATCTTTAATCTTTGATAAGATGTCGAAAAGTGACCGTGGAAAACAAAACCACCCCAAGTATATAAAACCCGCATTTTGTCAAACGTCGGAGGGCAACATAGCCAATTGTAGTTATTCTTACATCAAATGAAATTGATTCACTCCCTAATGTCAAATAATTGAGTTTAATCGTTTTAACTTGAAAAAGATGGTAATTTTGCTCACCAGTTTTGTTCCCAATCTTGTGTTGTCGAAAAACGATTAATGTATCTAGGAATACGTTATAAACACAAAAATTAAATTTTGCATGCAACAAAAATTTTTGGAAAATGTTTGTTTGTGTACTAAACTTCTTTTGCGATTTAAAAAAAATAAAAATATAACTTTAAAAAAGTAATTTTGCTCACCAGTTTTGTTCCCAATCTTGTGTTGTCGAAACTTTATCGAATTTGAGAAACACATATTTGATTTTTTTTTCGATTGATTTTAGCCGGTTTTTTAATAGCACCACCATAGAAAATTGTTGAAGAAGAAATCAGTGTATTTCTGTCATACTGCCAGAAAAGCGTGAACAAAAAAAAACAATACAACAATACTAAGATATAATCTATAGATATATACTTATGGAGCTTTACAAATAAACAACCAACAAAACAGCTGGTATATCATTGTGAATTGCTGAATGTTTCGACTGCCTATATTTCAGGGCCAATGAAAAAGTTTATCTAAGTTGACCAAATAAACGAAAAGTTGACGAAATAATCGAAAAAAGATAGAAAACCATTTTTTTTTCTAATCCATCAGCCCAGGCGTAATCTACAAAAGGATTTACAAAGCCTTTCATATACTTTTAACAAGACTGCTCGTATCAGGACAAAGCCCTGAATGTTCCGACTGCCTTTTAAGGCCAATGGAGCAGTAATAACATGGAAAATTTAAAAGTAATAAAACAAAAAAATAATTTTTTTTTTCTGAAAAGTTCAAGATTTTTTGTACAAACCTCCCCCCACACGCCATATTAAGTAAAAAAATAATAAATTTTTCTCGTATTAACAAATCAATTATGGCATATAATCTTCCTTGAACCAATATGGAACGATTTATATGACGGATTAAATCTCGCTTACGCGTTAATAGCGCGAAACATATCGCGCGTTAATTGTCCCACATGGGCAAAAATGTCAATTTTTAAACCCAATAACATTACAAAAATGATCACAGGTGAAATATCTTTTCAAATTTAAGCTCCGAAAAACAATAGCTTTGAATGATGTAGAAAAATTCCTTCAAACATGGCCTTTTAAAGAGTCAAAATTTGTCTGAAGAAAAAAAACCCACCCCTAGCACAAATATTCCGTTACTTTCTTTACGAAAGTCAGAACAAAAAGACCGAAAGTTTTGCCTTAATTCAATTTGGAACGCATTTTTTTCTCAGTAGAGTAGAGCTCATGGTTTTTTATTTCTCAGTGTACGGTCTATTTATATACACCCAATCTGACCCTATCTGACCAAAGTAACGGAATATTTGTGCTCGGGGTGGTTTTTTTTTCTTCAGACAAGGTTCGACTTTTTGACGGAAATATTTTGTTCAAAAGGTATTGTTGTCCTGAGCTTAAATTTGAAAAGATATTTCACCTGTGATAACTTTTCCTTAGGTTAAGAAGGTTTAAAGATTGCCATTTTGGCCATTTTGAGACAATTAACGCGCGATATATTTCGCGCTATTAACGCGTAAGCGGAGATTTAATCCGTCTTAGAAATCATTCCAGATTGGTTGAAAGAAGCTTATTTGCCGTTGTTGATTTGTTACAAGGAGCAAAAACTATTGTTTTTTGCTAGCAGTCTTGCTTCGCCTTGATACGACCTGTCTTGTTTCGTTAACCTCAGTAGATCTAGAAAAAAAACAGTGGCTCTTGCTAGTAATTACCCGGGTTGACCAAAAATGCTTATCATACAATTCTCATAAATGAGAAATTTCTTTTCATACAATTCCATAGGTACAGAAAATTTTATGGAATTTGTATGAAAGGGGTTTTCTCCATAAACCAAAAAGTTGGTTTTTGTTGCTTCATTTATTTTCTGACAAATTTTCGGTTGTGTTTGCAACCGAGCACAAGTGACAAAGACCTTGCTTACTCAAAGCAACAAAGGTTGGACGGTCTTGCATTTACAATGCATGAAAAACGACTTGAATTGTCTTCGAGCTGTCTTTCACAAATTATATATAAAAAGTAAAAAGCTTTTAATTTTTGGCAAAATTTTTCAATAATGATTATTTTAATTTTTTGAATTTTCATATTATCAGACATACAAAAACACGCCATACAAAAGAAATAAGTATTATAGGTTTTTGAAAAAAATTTTAAGTGAAAAGAAAAAAGCTATTATTATCGTATCTAGGACTATGTTATGCACACAAAAAAATAAATTTTGCATGCAAAAAATTTTTTTTTCGGAAAACGTTCTTTGCGTACAAATTAGATTTGCGGTTCAAAAAAAAACAAAGCTTTGGGGCAAGTTTTCAAAATTACTACTGAAAAATTTTTGTGTCGTATATGGAAATTGTATGGTAAGCATTCTTCTCAAAAAAATTTTCAAATCAGTTTTTTTTGTCATCACTGTTCAACTGTTCTCAAAAAGCCGCAGAAATGTTTTAATTTTTTTTCTATTGTTTTTCGAAAATGTATGAAAGTTTTATGACAAGCATTTTCTCCAAACACTTGATGTATGGAATTGTATGATAATGATTTTTGTTGGGTGGAATTGTATGATAAGCAGTTTCGGTGTATGGGGGTCAACCCTGGTAATCATGAGAGCTAGCCGTTTGTTAGAGAAATTGGTATGCTCTGAAATACTTTTCAGCCTGTATTGCACAGTTTAGCGAATGAAATATGCTTCATTACAAATCTGTATTTAACAGTACTAATATTGCACCACAGAGTGTTTCCGGCTCATGACTCATTCAAGCATCCGCTCAAAAAATGGTTGGACTGCGTCGTCTTCTGCAGGTGCGTTCGAGCCATGGAGTCTCTTATTACCGACAAGTCCGCGAACATTTCCGGGAGACTAAAAGAAAAACTTACGCCAAATATTTGTTTAGCTGATTGGTAACAGGCATGGAGACAGATATGTTAGTAATTTGTCAGAGGGTCGCAGCAAACATTTCTAAAAATGACAAATTATTGAGGTCGTTACGATTGGATAAATAACTTCGTATAAAGCAGCAACATCGCTCAAAACACAGCGAAAAAAACACGATAACACTGTGAAATGATGTGTTTAACTAGAAGACAAGAGGCAGGTTAATAAGCGCATCTAGCAAACTGCAGGGACCTAGAAGACAATTGGATTGATTGGTGTAGTCTATTGATTAGAGTCTATGAGTTGTGAGTTGTTGTGTGTGGGATTATGGTAATAAAAAGGGATAGGGATTATGTGATTGGAACTACACTGCAGAAGCTACTGGGATGAGTGCTATTGTGGGATAGTATTCTGTCTGCTGCTGGGGATAATCTGTAAAAAGCAACTGAAGAGATTCACAAATGGGAGGAGAAGGAGCAGTGCAACATCAGTTACACAGGAGTCAGCTGTCAGAATAGTGGCACAGTGTGTGTGTGTGTGTGTGGGGGGGGGGGGGGTGACTATGGTGTATGGATGTGAGAGGAGGGAGGATGTTGATAGTAGACGAGGGTTGAGATAATTATGTGTTATGTTATGGAGCACACACTATGATGAAACTAAGATGCAATACATTAGGCGATGGAGAGTAACAGAGTGAATAAACCAATCAACTCTGTCAAGACCGACTAGCAATAGGGGGGAATAAGGGGCAAGATAGAAGGCCAAGTGAAGGTCATGTAACTGGTAGGGGGTGGGGCAGTTATGCTTTAGACGGACCAGATGAGCTGCTCAGTTGAGGGCCTGAGTGACTGACAGTGTGATATGACAGATGAATAACTAATCCAACCATCTTTTAGAACAGCAGAGGATAGTGCAGAGGAGGACGGGAGGGAGAAACAAACTAGCCAAACAAGTGTAGTCTATACTGAGGTTGATTTGGGGTTTGGGTGACATCATAAGCGGACTGATATAGTTATCTGTCTGAATAGCGAGAGATGAGACCCAACAAAGAGATAAGACTGGAAGTAGAGAGAGAGAGGAAGAGATCAAGTGAATGGAAAATGGAATAAGAGATCGAGGAGAGAGAAACAGGCAGTTGTAACGTAAGAGGAGTTTAACGCGAGCAATGAATGAAATGGTTTTTGTTCATCTCACAGTTCGCTTTGCGAGTCCAATCATTGAAGCGTGGCTTGTGCGCACTTCTTACAGGAGTAAGATGAAAGGAGCCATAATGGAATGGGTATTATGGAGAGTAAATGAGAGAGGAAAGGGGGAGGGGTGGGTCTGTCTGTAGGATGTAATGGAATGGTCTACCGGCGGAGTTGAGTGCTCTTCTTACGCATAGACGGTATGCACTCGTGTTAATAAAGAGTAAAAAGCAGTGGCGATGTTTCTCAAATCATTTTGAATTAAATGTATGGCTAACTAACAGACATCAGTGTGTCCATTTAGTGGCCCCATCAATGACTGTGGTTCAGCCGAGCCCAACAGTACTTTCCACTCCAGTCTGCTAAGAGTGGTTCAGTTCAAGTTCAAGTGTGTGTCCCTCTGCTTTTAATTTTGGATTATTAGTGAATTTTTAATGTTACAGTGGCAGAGTGGGTTGGGTAATTGGCATCCCCGTTTGGAAGTTACAGAGAATAAGAGATGGATATTGAAACAATGACCAGCAGGCCACTAACAGAATAGAACGGCTAAAAATGAAAAACAAAATGAGAGCAAAAAGTGGAATTGACGAGGGGTGAAAATTGAGGGCAGAGTGAAATTGAATATACGAATGGAGAGTTGAATGAAATAAAAAATAATCGGTGGCTGTAAAACAGGATCAGAGCAGAGCACGCCCGCCCTCCCTTCTGCTCCTTGTAGTTGTAACTGTATGGTGTGTATCTAAGTGACGCTTTTAATCCAATTACTGGCCACAAAAGAAACGCTTCCTTTGTTCTCCCGGCCTCAATAGATTATCCCACTTGCAGGTTAGCAATAGATGTCGGATAGAAACAGCCCTGCCTGTCTCCTTATACCTCGCCCTATGCGCCACAAAACCCAACCAATTCCCCCATTTCCCCCATGCTTCCACGGCCACCACTGCTATCCCCCCTCCCTCCCTCCCTCCCCACCCTGTTATAGCAGCACCATTAGGCGCACCCACCTTCAAACAAGGGACACCATCAACGGGTAGTGAAGTGAGCAAGTGTCAAATTGAATTAACGGCCAAAAACACTCCAATTATTCAAATCAGGCAAAGTGAGGCCAAAATGGAGGGTACGGACAGTTTACATTCTAATCTCATTGTTAGAATGTCATGCCATATTATTATTGTTATTTGCCACATTTACTACATATCAATGGCTGAATTACACGACATGTGTTTTTGTTTGCATACAATCAACATGGGGATATTGATAAATGGATTGGCTAAATTGCTATTCAAAATATCACACCTACACGTCCGTGTCCGTTCCTCTCATCTCCTTGCCCCCCCCCCTCACCTTAACCCAAACCCAATTTGTAGCAAAGTTTTATAAAATAAAAGCTGTTTATTGAACTTTATAGAAGGTTATGAGCAGCATAGCAATCAATCAGGTGATCTCCGAAATAACTCATTAAAAGGCGAAATGTGGAAATGGGGAAAGAGGGGCAGGACAAAACATGGAAGACATCACAGATCATATTGTCCCTCTGGAGCAATGAAAGTAACTCTGCACCAATCACTAGCAGACACTAATGGTTCCAGTCGACAACAATCAAGTGGCACGAGAGTGACATGCCCAGTGGTCTCAAAACCGGCAACGCTCCACTCCTCCTCTAATAATTGCCGGCTGGGGACAAGTATTTTTTGACTTCAATCAGGAAGGACGGGAAGGTTGCAGCGAGCAAAACTTGCAATATTCAATCCTATTTCAGAAAATTCCTACAGAGATAAATATTTTGTTACGGTTGTACTTGTTGGGCAAAAAATTTCATGCCTGATCCCCCAAAAATTACAAAAAGTTTATCATTTATGACAACGCAAACGCCACACATAAGCGACAGCGTGCTTCTACCAAACAAAACTAGCCAACTGACAGTTGGAATAAGAGTAATGACCGCAATGAAACTGAAACAAAAACGGACTTGTTTTTTTTTCCAAAAAATCTTTGAGCTCTTTGAATTTCTAGGACAGTTTTTACAGGACACTTTTCGAGAACCCAATTTGAAATCAACCCAATTTGCGAAAACTGGATCAGAAGGCAAAACTTTCATTTCGCTGATAATTAATTTCCTCTTTCAAAATTAGAAAACGATCACGTTTTTCGTGACCTTTACAATTTTGCTGATCGATAGGAGAGTTTGCATTCCTTTTAACAATAGAAATACACTGAAATTTAAAAGAAATCACAAGTCAGACCGCGAAAAGTCAAAAATGGGTGTAAACAAGTTTTAAGACTTTCTCCTGAAAAAAAAACATTGCAATAGAAAAACTTGAAAAATCGTTAATTTTACTGAAGAAGCGCAGTCATTTTGCAAACTGAGACAAGTCTGGGAAACTAGTTTTTTATAGTTGTTTTTATGCCTGACTTCACCGTTTGGATGTCAAGCTCTATATGCATGGCTAGATAAATTTGTGACAACCGTATGCTCAAAAGTAAAATCTCTTTTTTCTTATTTCCTTCGAAATTTTTCGTTTTTTCCTTCAATTAAGAGTTTTAAAGGAATGGGATTTAATTGGTTACAGCAAAACGTATTACGATAGAAAAAAAAGAAAATTTTTAGCAAAAGATTTAAATAATATTTTTAATAGCTAAAAGTTTTGTGGAAGGCTAAACATTGTAACAGATTATGGTCGAAATATGGTATTCATAATGATTTGGGAGAACTCAGAAAATCCGCCTCCCCCATCAAGAAAATCATAGATCAGCCTCTTGCTTTTCGTACACTTTTTGAGCATGCTTGCAAAACTGGCCAAACTCGGCCAAGTCAATGTGGTCACCAAAAGAAATCAACAACTTTAATTCTATCCTATAAACAGAAAAATTTACATTTTGCTGATAAATTTATTACACAGCGCTAGTGCATGTACGAAGTCAGCGAAAACTAAATGTCTCATTATTGTACCGACTTTCGATACGAAAGTAACGCAACATTTGTGGTCGGGGTGGGTTTTTTTTTCTTCAGACAAATTTCGACTTTTTAACTAGCGATTTTTGACGGAATTTTTTATATCGTTCAAAAAGTTTTGTTGCCCTGAACTCAAATTTGAAAAGATATTTCACCTGTGATCATTTACACCTATCTGACCAAAGTAACGGAATATTTGTGCTCGGGGTGGTTTTTTTTTCTTCAGACAAGGTTCGACTTTTTGACGGAAATATTTGTTCAAAAGGTATTGTTGTCCTGAGCTTAAATTTGAAAAGATATTTCACATGTGATAACTTTTCGTCAAGTTATAGAGGTTTAAAGGTTGCCATTTTGGCCAATTAGGGACAATTAACGCGCTGTATTTTTCGCGCTATTAACGCGTAAGCGGAGATTTCATCCGTCTTAAAATTGTTCCAAATTGATTGAAAGAAGCATGTTGCTGTTCCGACTGTCGGGATGTTGCTGTTCCGACTGTTGGGAAAGCAACAGAAAACTGGTGCTTCCTGTGGTTCCTACTTTCGAACTAGCATTTTGACAGATTTTTTTCCACAAGTAGACGGAATAAGCAGAGCTTAATTGCCTTGACACGGGCTTTCGCGTTCTTTTTAATTTGATCAAACAGATCAAATGGCGACGATGCTTTCAAAAATTTGAGCATTGTTCTTTTTTCGGTCTGATTGGGTCAATTGGCGTAATACACAACCTTGTAAATATACGTATTTGGTCTGAAAACTGACCTGTTTAATGGTCGAGCGTATATTGAACGTGACTGCAGTTGCCTATGATTTCATAGAGGAGAAATGCTTCAACTTTAAAAAGCATTCATAAGCAATTATCAGCCATGCCGTTCATGTCATCTGCATGGGTGAATGGTTTTTACGTACCTTACCTGCAGTGGAATGAGATAGCAGGTACCGATTGGCGGGATGGTTTCTGAACGTGCGACTGATTCACTGTCTCATTCAGTTGCAGTTGGCAATAAGGCTAACGAAATAGTCTTTTGACTGAAGCTGATAATGATGGCGAAAAGAAATCAGTCCACGGAGCAAAGAGCAACAACGGGATATATTTTGAGAGGGTGGTTTGACTGCAAATTTCAGATAATAAAAAAACTGAGATATCAGCTGGCCAGCTCAGAGCGAGAACCAAAACACTTCTGGAACTAAAAGAGTGAACTAACTTGAATTAAGAGGAGTCGCAATGCAACACGAGATGCAACGCTGGCTTAGTTTAAGTTGTGATCGGTGGTAATTAATATGCGGATAACAGATTGAGGCCAGACGAGGGAACTGGCAGCTAAAACTGGGAATAATGAGTCGTAGAGTTTTGTCACACCACTGAAGGCATCATTGTTATCTCAACGGAAGATTGAACTTGCGTCACTCAGCGTATATGCATGAGTACTCTTGTTTGTTTGTTTGCTGGCGCATTCATCCCAGTCTTAGAGGCCGGATTGTAGCTCTGGTTTCTATTCTTGTGTCAGATTGGGGGAGTAAATAATTCAAAGAGTCTCCACACAACGTTTAACTCGCCGAATTTATTGTGGCAAGGCTAGGAAAAACAGCAGCTGCTAAGTATTTATTGTTTTTGTGGATGTTGGAGGTCGGGAGGGGGGGGGGGGGTGTTTACTTTGTTTAGTGTTTGTTCACGTGTAGTTATCCAATCTACAATCCCAGCATCGGAATGCTCTCCTTGGCTCAACCACCGCCACCACCAACAGCAGCGGCAGTCGCAGTCGGAGGGGTATTATGACTATAAATAAACGACCTCAAATATCCACAGATTGTAGCTCCCTTTGTCTCCTGCTGTTTAATCTACCATGGCACCAGAACAAAGCTCCATTGTTTTTTCTCTCTTTTCTATTGATGTGTTGAGAGGAAGGGTGTCCAATTGTAAGTATAATGGGCGGAGCAGCATAGAACAGCATCAGTTTCAATGGAAGCTGTTTATGTTTGACATATTTCACATGGTTTCCTAATTAAGCTCATTCATACAATTCAAAATTACTCAGAGTAGGAACTTGACAGTTTTGGATATAGCTAGCCAACTCTTAAATCATTTCATGAAGAAAAAGTCAAAAAGTAACCCCCCCCCCCATAGAGTACATTACAAAAACTCAAAATCAATTCAAAACCATTTCGATTATGTCCTTATACTGAGCGGATTGATGATTGAAATATAACTGCAAATAAAAGTATTTCAGTGATAGATAAAAAACAAAAACAGTTGGCTTCAATCAATCGCAATAGGAGTGCAACAGAACAGAACATCGGATGAACAAAGCAATTTTTAAATGAAAATGCACTCTGGAACTATAAAGAACAGATAAAACCAAATACTTTTTCATAAATCACTACACAACGAATAGCAAGTGCAAAAAGGTGATATTTAAAAACATTTAAATTGAATATCTTCAGTAAATCTTTCGTTTCATACAATAGTAAACCTTTCTATTTGCCGAAATTCATCAGAACATTTCTTATCTAAACGGTGTAAGGTAACAACAGTCCTAAGGGGCAAAGATTGAGGCGACCACAATGAGCAGGTCTCTTCCAGAGATTCTTTTCATTATCTTTATATCTTTGTAATTTATCCAATTCAATTTACCACTGAATTTCTAGAACTTCCATTTCATTTGCTTTGCCGTTTTCTGATAACTGAGCAAAGATCGGATTTTAGGAGAATTGATACCTCATTTGGCCGTCGTTTGATGAGAAAAAGAAATCATCCATTTCAAGAAGCATCCAGGAACAGGGTTGACATTTACTGCATTTTGTGGTTTCCAAAATTTTAGCAAAGCGTAGTTTGCGGAAATTGATGAACCTTTTGCTCAAAAAAGCGTCCTTTGTTTTTATAGATCACACTTTTATAAATGTTTTCAATTCTGCATACAAAAC